CTATAATTTAATTTAGCAACGCTAGTAAATGCGCATGCGTAGTTTTCATTTTAGGCATATTTTTGTTGTAAGTTATTTAGCTCGCGTCTGTTTCTGCAATGTCATCATTTGAGCAAAGGGCAGATATTAAATTTTGTTACATGATGACCCAAGGTGACCCACTATCCCCATGCCTATTCCTACTCTTTATTAATGATTTGATTAAAATATTTGATGACTCGGGGTTGTCAGGAATATACTTACCCAATTTCGGAAACATACACCTCCTCCTATATGCCGACGATATTGTTTTGATCGGTGATTCTAAAATAAACCTTCAATTGAAAATCAACATACTGAAAACCTATCTAGAAACTAACTTACTAAATCTGAACGAAAACAAGTCAAGAATAATGGTTTTCCGTAATGGAGGAAAGGTGGCGCGTTCAGAAAGATGGTATTGGGGCCAAAGTCCTTTAAGTGTTACATCAAAATATACGTACCTGGGCTACCCGCTAACCCCTTCGATTTCTTTCACTCAAGTTGCCTTAAATTATAGAGGCAAGACCATGGCCGCGATGGGTGCTGTGAGGGAGATTATTCTGAAGTCCAAGCTCAAATCCTTCCATGCAAGCATGAGATTGTTGTATTCTATGATCTTGACAGTCCTACTCTATGCGGCTCCAATCTGGGCACATGATCAAGCCTTAATCTTAGATAGAATCCAGGATACCTTTCTCAGACGTTTTCTGTGCCTTCCAAGTTATACTCCGGGCTATATTTTGAAGGCCGAAACAGGAAGAAACTCTCTTGATATCACAGTGAAAAAACTAACTTTAAAATTCTGGACTAGAATTCTGAAAATGGACGGCAGCAGGCTACCTTCAATTTGTTTGGCCCATTTGTGGGACATTTCAATTTCTTCAAAACAGAATATCGGACTGGTAAAAAGTATAACAGAGCTACTTAATAACACCGGCTTCTCATGGCTTGTTGGATGTACAGACTTCAATATTCTACAAAGATACATCCCCCTAATTATTAGAACGGCAACCGATCAGTCCTTGCAGCTGGATTATGTAAGAATAAGAAAATCAATACTCTACTCTCACTATAAATACTTTCATTCATCACCTACAATGGAATGCTATCTGAATGACAATATCCCCCTAACCATAAAGAGAATCATTGTACAAGTAAGAAGCCTTTTTGTAGTACAGAGAATTAATCATGCTTCACTATTGAAAACTAAGACCATAAAATGAACCTTATGCAACGGTGAATTTAGTCTCGATTTTCCACACTACATGTTCTACTGTACGGCAATGGAAGAAGAAAGAGAAATTCTTCGTCAAGAGACCGGCTATAATAGCAATTCGCCTTATGTTTTAATGGCAAAAGTCGTAAAATCCAGACCCTTTGCATTCGCTTTTTATAAATACTGGAAATCAGCTCAATCAAAATATTTAGCACAGACACCGGATCCAACTCGATAATTGGTCGAGGTCAATACCCAATATTGTATATAACTACGATGCTGATTTGTTATTTATTTATTCTGTTCTACAGGGAGAATCTTGTATGGCACGTGTGCCCAATAAAGGCTATTGTTGTTGTTACATGATAGCCAAACTGGTGATTGTATTGTGTCTACAGTTTTGGTTGTTAGACTATAGCTATATTACATATGGGAATATAAGTATATACAGTAGACTCTCCTATAACGCGATTAATGTGTTCCGTGTTGTATGATATCGCGTTATAAGAATTAATGTTTATTCACTACGTAATTTGTTTTTTTTTTTTATATACATTTGCATATAAAATAATATAACATTTAGTTTTGTTTTAGTATATAATGATTTTCCTATATACATCATTTTATACAATACATTTTTACATGATACAGTATATCTCCTTTTCAATTTTTCTTTTTTTCCAACTTTATTTCGCATGCCTGGGGAGCAAGTTTCGTAATTTTTTATATTTGCAAAATATTTACATGTAACTTCTAATTTAATACATTATATGCGTTAAAAATATTATTTTAAGCTTTAAAACTCAATTTAACACTACGTATTTAAAATATTTAACTTACAGAAACACATGTGCAATTAAATTGACAAAGTATACAACACTACTTCATTCAAAAACAAAAAAAAATGAAAAACGCGCGTGCATAAAAATTAAATGTATTGTACAGTTGTCAATATGGAAATTTCCGCATTTTATTTTATAACGCGTTATACGAAAATTCGCTTTGTATAAATAAATTTGTCGCAATTTTTTTATCGCGTTGTACGAAATCGCGTTGTAAAAACTCGCGTTATAGGAGAGTCTACTGTATTGAAATATATTACAACGGTTTTTTCTATTGTTTTTTCATGTGTTAAGCGTATTTTCGCAAATTTGGCCTTAAATTCCCATTTCTTGGTTTCTCAAGAAGCCTCTGGGACCAAAAATATTTTTTGGTCGCAGTGGTTACAGTCTACTCCACGCTAACGAGCATCAACAGCGCGAAACGCGTTCGTGGATGACTTTTCTTGATTTATCAAGAAATTGGGTTGGCCAAATATCAGGGAACAGGCTAAATCAATGTTTAGTTGTTTTCTGTTCCACTAGATGGCGCTCTGCCATCTAAAAAAGCACACGTGCTCGTGGTCAGGATATGCCTTCTTTATTTTTGATATATATATATTTTTTTTTTCGGTATGTATTAAATGCAACAGGTTTCTGGAGATGAGTTTCTCTACATATTTATTATCTCAATCTCGAGTTTTCGGTAATTTCTGACCTTCTATAGGAGTACATAAAAACTTATAAACGCCGTTAAGATGCTGACGTATATCGGGATTCAGACAATAACTCTGAAAGATATTACGGTGACCTTTATTGAAGACACACTCATGGACAAAACTTAAGGAAGTTGTACCTTTTAGCATGTATATAGGGATTTAGACAATAACTCTGAAAGATATTACGGTGACCTTTATTGAAGACACACTCATGAACAAACCTTAAGGAAGTTGTACCTTTTAGCATGTATATCGGGATCCAGTCAATAACACTGAAAGATATTACGGTGACCTTTATTGAAGACACACTCATGGACAAAACTTAAAGAAGTTGTACCTTTTAGCATGTATATCGGGATTCAGACAATAACTCTGAAAGATATTACGGTGACCTTTATTGAAGACACACTCATGGACAAAACTTAAGGAAGTTGTACCTTTTAGCATGTATATCGGGATTCAGACAATAACTCTGAAAGATATTACAGTGACCTTTATTGAAGACACACTCATGGACAAAACTTAAGGAAGTTGTACCTTTTAGCATGTATATCGGGATTCAGACAATAACTCTGAAAGATATTACGGTGACCTTTATTGAAGACACACTCATGGACAAAACTTAAGGAAGTTGTACCTTTTAGCATGTATATCGGGATTCAGACAATAACTCTGAAAGATATTACAGTGACCTTTATTGAAGACACACTCATGGACAAAACTTAAGGAAGTTGTACCTTTTAGCATGTATATCGGGATTCAGACAATAACTCTGAAAGATATTACGGTGACCTTTATTGAAGACACACTCATGGACAAAACTTAAAGAAATTGTACCTTTTAGCATGTATATCGGGATTCAGACAATAACTCTGAAAGATATTACGATGACCTTTATTGAAGACACACTCATGGACAAAACTTAAGGAAGTTGTACCTTTTAGCATGTATATTGGGATTGAGACAATAATTCTGAAAGATATTACAGTGACCTTTATTGAAGACACACTCATGGACAAAACTTAAGGAAGTTGTACCTTTTAGCATGTATATCGGGATTCAGACAATAACTCTGAAAGATATTACGGTGACCTTTATTGAAGACACACTCATGGACAAAACTTAAGGAAGTTGTACCTTTTAGCATGTATATCGGGATTCAGACAATAACTCTGAAAGATATTACAGTGACCTTTATTGAAGACACACTCATGGACAAAACTTAAGGAAGTTGTACCTTTTAGCATGTATATCGGGATTCAGACAATAACTCTGAAAGATATTACGGTGACCTTTATTGAAGACACACTCATGGACAAAACTTAAAGAAGTTGTACCTTTTAGCATGTATATCGGGATTCAGACAATAACTCTGAAAGATATTACGATGACCTTTATTGAAGACACACTCATGGACAAAACTTAAGGAAGTTGTACCTTTTAGCATGTATATTGGGATTGAGACAATAATTCTGAAAGATATTACAGTAACCTTTATCGAAGACACACTCATGGACAAAACTTAAAGAAGTTGTACCATTTAGCATGTATATCGGGAATCAGACAATGAATCTGAAAGATATTACAGTGACCTTTATTGAAGATACACTCATGGACAAAACATAAGGATGCTGTACCTTTTAGCATGTATATCGGGATTCAGACAATAACTCTGAAAGATATTACAGTGACCTTTATTGAAGACACACTCATGGACAAAACTTAAAGAAATTTTACCTTCTAGCATGTATATCGGGATTCAGACAATAACTCTGAAAGATATTACAGAGATCTTTATTGAAGACACACGATATAACTAAGTGTAAACAAATTGCTTATGTCTCCTTAAAAAAAAACAGATAACCGGCAAAATCAGACTTTCCACTTCCATATGTTTTGTCTATGAGTGCATTTTATAAGTTTCTACCAAACAGCAGACTTTTAAAAGACATTTTTCTTACAAATACTCATCCTGAAGTCCAAGAAAGGAGTATTTGTAATATGAAATGTCTTTTAAAAAACGTTTTCTCTTGTTGAATCATTATTTTCATTTAGTACAGAAATTTAGAAAGAAGAAATTTCAATATCCGATACATTAAGATAAAGTAATAAATCAACCGAAAGGGCTGTTATAATGTACTAGCCGAATGACCCGGGCAACGCCCGTGTTTTACCCGATTGTGAATGTTTTGATTCAAATACTATTTGTTACAATTATAAATTGTGGTCATGGGGCCTAGTGGTCATGGCATCTGCCCGGTAAGCGGAAGGTCGTGGGTTCGATTCCCATCCCTTGACGCTTTTTTTGTTTTATCCATTCTGACCAAAATCTATCCGTTAACTTCACACAGTGAACTTCACACAGACAGAATAAGGCAATTATATAAGTAGATGGCCATTAAAACATAGAAATTCTGGTTCGAATAAAAGATAAGAAATTTTGGTGATCAAAAGGTTTTATAATTCCATTTTTTCGCAATTAAAAGGTTATAGACACATAATTTAAGAAAGAGGTGGCTATATAATTATAAGCTTTATATAAATAGCCATATATATTGTTTAATTTTCAAAGAATCAAACGCGTTTATAAAAGTTTCGAATTTTCAAAACAAATGGCGCGCTGATGCATCATAATAAACTTAATGAGTTGAACTTTAGCGCATTAAAATATAAATCCATAATCAACGTATCTTTAAATTTTAGGAATCATTGAAAAAGATGGAAATTATGCTGAGAGGAAATTGATCTATAAAAGATAAGGTTTACTCACCCGTCAAAACTAGACACCATCTTAGAAAGAGGGAATCATATATCGCCGCAACTCTTTTTATTAACGCGATTAAGGAAGCTTTCGGGCAAGCCCTTCTTCAGCTAACTATAGTGTACAAACAAGGCAAGCTGTACACTATAGTTAGCTGAAGAAGGGCTTGCCCGAAAGCTTCCTTAATCGCGTTAATAAAAAGAGTTGCGGAGATATATGATTCCCTCTTTCTAAATTGTCGAAATCCGCAATCCGTTTACCATGAATAGACACCATCTATTGAGCATCGCCTCAAGCTAGCATCCTTGGGTCGTTGACAAAGCCATAACAAAGGTTTTGGCAAATTGAGAAGGGTCAATCTGGGGACCATGGTTCAGGCTAATGGCTCTTTTCAGCCCAGGGTAGATATTGTTTTGACGGGAGGTGTGAACTTTGCTTTTATACAAGAAAAAAATACTAAGAGTCTATTCAGGCAAAGTTTATTCGAACGATACTCGTGTATTTCAGTAAAATAGAGTCAATCAAGCTAGCCATTTATGCAATCGTGGTCACGGTTAGAAGAGGGCTTAGAGACAGTGTCCTCAAAGCTTATGTCAATAGTTCTTCTAAAATACCCATTCAAAGAGTCAATCAACAGCATCACTATAAAAGGAAGTTCCAAAAATGCAATATAACAGCGGTATGGTGGATTAAACTGGCGAAACTGTTGAGAGGGTTCACCACTGATGAGCCAGGCCCTCTCATTAATTTTCCATTGCAGTAAGGGCAGTAGAAATTGTTTAATTTCAAAAAGAATCTTACGCCTTTAAAATAGTTTCGAATTTTGATAACAGATGGCGCGCTAGTGCATCATATTATAAAGATTCCTGTTAGACTTTTCCAAATAAAATTAATTAATATGTCGCTAATAGGCATTCTAACGTATAGAACAATGTTTCTAAGCTATCTAGAGCTAATTCAGCTGTGTGTGCTGAAGGCTTCCTGGAAAAAACTTCCATAAATCAATTAAATAGAATTAACTGGGTTCAAGTCTCGATATGGAATCAATAGGGTTGCCATGCCGTGTGACCAATCTGAAATTTAAATCGGAATAAATATGAATGACGTTTAATTCCGGTGTCTGAGAGCGGGGCCAATCGTGACACGGGTTTTAATTGATTGGGGGCAGTGGCTGGATGTCGAGGTGAGTGCTCCACTGTGGTACAGGGGCAGTGGCTGGATGTCGAGGTGAGTGCTCCACTGTGGTACAGGGGCAGTGGCTGGATGTCGAGGTGAGTTCTCCACTGTGGTACAGGGGCAGTGGCTGGATGTCGAGGTGAGTGCTCCACTGTGGTACAGGGGCAGTGGCTGGATGTAGAGGTGAAGGCTCCACTTTGGTACAGGGGCAGTGGCTGGATGTCGAGGTGAGTTCTCCACTGTGGTACAGTGCCAGTGGCTGGATGTCGAGGTGAGTGCTCCACTGTGGTACAGTGGCAGTGGCTGGATGTCGAGGTGAGTGCTCCACTGTGGTACAGGGGCAGTGGCTGGATGTAGAGGTGAAGGCTCCACTGTGGTACAGTGGCAGTGGCTGGATGTCGAGGTGAGTGCTCCACTGTGGTACAGTGGCAGTGGCTGGATGTCGAGGTGAGTGCTCCACTGTGGTACAGTGGCAGTGGCTGGATGTCGAGGTGAGTGCTCCACTGTGGTACAGGGGCAGTGGCTGGATGTAGAGGTGAAGGCTCCACTTTGGTACAGGGGCAGTGGCTGGATGTCGAGGTGAGTTCTCCACTGTGGTACAGTGGCAGTGGCTGGATGTCGAGGTGAGTGCTCCACTGTGGTACAGTGGCAGTGGCTGGATGTCGAGGTGAGTGCTCCACTGTGGTACAGGGGCAGTGGCTGGATGTAGAGGTGAAGGCTCCACTGTGGTACAGTGGCAGTGGCTGGATGTCGAGGTGAGTGCTCCACTGTGGTACAGTGGCAGTGGCTGGATGTCGAGGTGAGTGCTCCACTGTGGTACAGTGGCAGTGGCTGGATGTCGAGGTGAGTGCTCCACTGTGGTACAGGGGCAGTGGCTGGATGTCGAGGTGAGTTCTCCACTGTGGTACAGTGGCAGTGGCTGGATGTCGAGGTGAGTGCTCCACTGTGGTACAGTGGCAGTGGCTGGATGTCGAGGTGAGTGCTCCACTGTGGTACAGGGGCAGTGGCTGGATGTCGAGGTGAGTTCTCCACTGTGGTACAGGGGCAGTGGCTGGATGTAGAGGTGAAGGCTCCACTGTGGTACAGGGGCAGTGGCTGGATGTAGAGGTGAAGGCTCCACTGTGGTACAGGGGCAGTGGCTGGATGTCGAGGTGAAGGCTCCACTGTGGTACAGGGGCAGTGGCTGGATGTCGAGGTGAGTGCTCCACTGTGGTACAGGGGCAGTGGCTGGATGTCGAGGTGAGTGCTCCACTGTGGTACAGTGGCAGTGGGTGGATGTCGAGGTGAGTGCTCCACTGTGGTACAGGGGCAGTGGGTGGATGTCGAGGTGAGTGCTCCACTGTGGTACAGGGGCAGTGGGTGGATGTCGAGGTGAGTGCTCCACTGTGGTACAGGGGCAGTGGCTGGATGTAGAGGTGAAGGCTCCACTGTGGTACAGGGCAGTGGCTGGATGTCGAGGTGAGTGCTCCACTGCGGTACAGGGGCAGTGGCTGGATGTCGAGGTGAGTGCTCCACTGTGGTACAGGGGCAGTGGCTGGATGTAGAGGTGAAGGCTCCACTTTGGTACAGGGGCAGTGGCTGGATGTAGAGGTGAAGGCTCCACTTTGGTACAGGGGCAGTGGCTGGATGTCGAGGTGAGTGCTCCACTGCGGTACAGGGGCAGTGGCTGGATGTAGAGGTGAGTGCTCCACTGTGGTACAGGGGCAGTGGCTGGATGTAAAGGTGAGTTCTCCACTGTGGTACAGGGGCAGTGGCTGGATGTAGAGGTGAGTGCTCCACTGTGGTACAGGGGTAGTTGTTGATTAATAAATACAATAATATAGCCGCAATATTTATTCTAAATTTAGTTTTCGATCGTTTTGAATCGAGTTCTAACACCGATGTATTTCGGCAGGATGGCCGTTTTCAACATTTTGACGGTGACACTACTCATTAACGTCGCTACAGCCACCAACTGGACTTTTTGTAAGTACTACAGCCACCAACAGGACTTTTTGTAAGTACTACAGCCACCAACTGGACTTTTTGTAAGTACTATAGCCACCAACAGGACTTTTTGTAAGTACTACAGCCACCAACTGGACTTTTTGTAAGTACTACAGCCACCAACTAAACTTTTTGTAAGTACTATAGCCACCAACAGGACTTTTTGTAAGTACTACAGCCACCAACTGGACTTTTTGTAAGTACTACAGCCACCAACTAAACTTTTTGTAAGTACTACAGCCACCAACTGAACTTTTTGTAAGTACTACAGCCACCAACTGGACTTTTTGTAAGTACTACAGCCAACAACTGGACTTTTTGTAAGTACTATAGCCATTAACTGGACTTTTTGTAAGTTCTACAGCCAACAACTGGATTTTTTGTAAGTACTACAGCCAACAACTGGACTTTTTGTAAGTACTACAGCCACCAACTGGACTTTTTGTAAGTACTACAGCCAACAACTGGACTTTTTGTAAGTACTACAGCCAACAACTGGACTTTTTGTAAGTACTATAGCCATTAACTGGACTTTTTGTAAGTTCTACAGCCACCAACTGGACTTTTTGTAAGTACTACAGCCAACAACTGGACTTTTTGTAAGTACTACAGCCAACAACTGGACTTTTTGTAAGTTCTACAGCCACCAACTGGACTTTTTGTAAGTACTACAGCCATAAAATTCATCTTCTCTAAGTACCATAGAAACGACTGGAACCTCTGTAAGTATTACAGCCACCGACCTGAATTTCTGTAAGTACCACAGCCATTGCTGGACCTTAGGTATGTATCATAGCCACTGAAATAGCCATAAAACAGACATGAAACTTTTCAAATAAGAGTTCAACAATTTGAATAAGATGTGTTTGTTTGCCTAAGTTCTCACAATATTTAACATATCTGAATGACAAATTCAACAGGAAATATGTCTGAGAGAAATTACTATAATAGATTCGACTCCTGAATTTTATGCCAAAATTTCCAAATCAATTTGAGAAATAAATACCAATTTTGTGAACAGAAAATAATCATAATTATGTATTGATAAAATTTTCAACTACATTGTAAATACTCTATACAGACACTATGTTATGTGTATTGTTGTTTGCGTTTTTTTTCTATATACAAGCTCTTGTACAAGCATTTCAGTAAGCTTCCCGTCTCTCACCCTCCATGTTTTTGTCGGTGTCCAGTGACGTTGTAAAACATATTAGTAGTTTCCTGGGAGGAAGTGAAATTCGACTCCTCCGACCTTCGTCCTTCCTTGGCTGTCTCAATATAACTCTTTAATCATATTTTGTATTACAGGATGGCTAAACCGGCGCGTTGAATTTTATCAGCATTTTGGGTCTGTTACACTTTTATAATTATGGTAC